TTTTTTCACTTTTTACTTTTTGTTTTCACTTTGATTCGGAGTCTAAACAATATTATTATTTTTTGAAACTTTTTGAGTGGGTTTTGTATTATGTTAGGTACACGTCTGTAAATTTCAGGGCATTTAGATATGCCAAAAAAAAATAAAAAATAGCCAAAGATGGCGGTGTCGAAAACATGCTCGCGCACTCACAAAATTCAATTCACTTTTTATTTTTATTTATTTTTATTATTAGTATTTGTTTTCCGTATTTTATTTTTATTTCAAATCTGGTAACGAATTCGGATGTAAGGCTTGGGCAAATCTTTTTTAATTTATTTTTCTCCATAATGTATCTTTCTTTCAGATTTTTTTGATGACGTTTTTTTTTTTTTTTTTTTTTTGGGGGGGTGGTCCGCGTACGGACTGACCAGCCGAACGCATCCCCAAGAGGTCCCATACGTTCGGGCATTCGGGTTCCGGCGTTTGGCCCGCCGTTTTTTTGGCATAGCTAAATGCTCTGAAAATTTACAGATGTGTACTTCACATAATACAAAACCCACTTAAAAACTTTCAAAAAATAATAAAATTGTTTAGACCCCGAACTAAAGTGAAAACAAAAAGTAAAAAGTGAAAAAATACGTGGGAAAGCACATTTTGACACCGCCATCTTTGGCGACTTTTAATTCTTATTTGGCTTAGCCAAATAACTTGAAAATTTACGTGCATATACCTCACGTCATAGAGAACTCACAAAAAATAATTTATAAAAAACTAATTATTTTTAGGCCCCGAAATTTTGGCGGGGGCCGAATGCCATCAGATTCGAACCCCGTACGGGACCCCGAAGGCTTGTACGTACGGAGGTCTGCCCGGGGATCTCCGTATGTACGGATTGGTGACCCTGTATATATATGTATAATTTTTTACTATGTTCGGACAAACACGTGAACATGTTCAGATGTTCGGAAAAACTCCGGGCAGGTTTTGGGTGTTATGCAGGTCGAAAGCAATTTTTTACAAACAAAGAGGACAATTGAAATGTTAACTTACTGGAGAAGAAGAATTGACATCCCTCATGATGATGAAGGGAAAAAATATCGCGGATTAATGGTCTTTCCAAATAATTATGGGAAACCCTTTGGGAATTTTTTTCGATGGATCTAATGAAATTCTTTAAAGCGGTATGGGAGATAGGCGATATGGGAGACATAGTAGGTCAATGAATCCTTACAAAGTTGTAGAAAAGAAGGTAAAACTTGAAAACCAAATATTTGTACTTATAAAAAATAAATAACGTTTTCACCGGCCTTGTTTATTTTTTTTTCGAGCCTTAGAATTTTTTTATTTTTTTTTTAGTAAGTTTTTTTGTTTGCCAAACATTTTTCAAGATTTGTCAGCAAATTTTAAATTTTGATACGCGTATTTTATTTCCATCACTCTCCTAAAAGTGGTATACAAGATGCTATCGAGCACTAGCCAATAATATGAACAAATTTATGATAGATATTATTCACCCTACTCAGATAATATTTATTCAAGGAAAAAATATTCATGATAATATATTGCTTGTCAATGAACTAATTAAAATATCACGTGAATCCAAGTATAATGTTGTCTTTATATTCATTGATTTAAAAAACACTTATGATCATATTGACCGGTTATTTCTGTATAAACGTACGGGGAAATTCAATTTTGGTCCATGCTTTAGAAAATGGATCTTAATTCTTTATCATAACGCAACAACGAGTGCTATGGTGAATGGTAATATGACACCAATAATTTTCTTATAAAAATTTGTTAGACAAGGGGATCCAATTGCTCCTTTTTTGTTCGTGATAATTATGGAAGCCCTGACAGGAAACATGAAAAAAATAAAGATATCAAACGTATTCAAATCTTATCTATTCCATAGGAGGCTATCCCGGTATGCTCTTTATTTGTTGATGATATCTCGCTAATGGTAGAGGATTCTCAAGCTAATTTGTATGTAAAAAAAATAATAATTGATAAATTTTAACTTTTATCTGATAAAACAGTAGATTGAAGAAACAAGACTCTGGAACGGTGGATACACTGCGAAGGAGGAAGACCCCAGAACAACCCCGAATAAAGTAGCTTCCATTAGAATCTCCTATCAGAGTTCTAAGAGTCTCGTTATCAAATGGAAAACAAGTGTCTTATAATGAAAATCTTATGAATCAGACCGAGGCAAAATTTGAATTATGGAAGGATAAACATATATCAATTATGAAAAGAACACTGTTTATCTATAGTGTCGTTTTTGCTTCTATATGGTATAAATCTGCAATTTGGGTAAATGGATAAACCTACTATTAAAATTTTTCAACGACAACTGATTGTTTTTTTTGTAAAGGGGAAATCATGAGTCAGATAAGACTATTAGTAGTAGTGTGATATGACTATCATTGATTCAACCCAAACTTAAAGATGGGTTACGAATAATCGATTCATCTACTGAAGTTATAACCTTATCTATACAGTTGTTTAAACGACTTTTGTTCGAACCTTATGTGTCATGAAACAGTTTAGCAAGTGAGTAGATTAGGAGACAAACACCCATAACTCTAGAAACAGTGGATCTGTTGATGTGGTTAGAAAACCGTTATTGGTCCCTCCCAAGAGAATCTAAAAAAGAAGTATTACATCTTCATGAATCAAACAGACAAGCGACCAGAAGATATCTAAAAAATTACTCCTTCATAATAGATATAATTAAAACATGGAGAAAATTACCACCTCCTGACAAAATTTCCCCTCTAAGATACGGAGAGGTATATCAACAACCCCGATTTAATATATATTTTTTTTAGGGATTATCAAGAATATGTCTTACATTGTATGGATTTTCCCGAGAAATAGTGGGTTAACAATGAAGTAATTAGGATTAAAAACATTTGGGACAAAAGAGGAAAAACCTGAATCTCTCTCTCAGACTTACATACTCGTCTACGCTATTGTCACCATCTGGACCGAGCCCGATATTAAATAATTGATCTAAATCCTCTAGATTGGATTCGTATTCTTAGGAGCGGACCTAAGTTATATTCTTCAGACTGGGTAGTTGTAAGGGGTCAGACTAATGTGGTCGGAAATGTTATTGAATATTTCAACGCTGAGGTAAGTCTGTTAGAAATTTATAAGATAGGAATAAATGATTTTGTGCTAGCCTCTCAAAAGAAAAACACAATACCCAAGAAGCCCAAGTATTAAGAATCACGGTCTTACAGGTTTAGGAGAAATGTCTACCGTTCAAACCAGAGACCCCTATATCTTCTTTACCAATAGAGCCAACCACATGGAGATGAAAAAACAAATGAAGAAAAGTAGATCCTACTCTATAGCGTTGCGCACATTAAAAGTCAAATCAACCTATAGAATGCTGAGACAAAAAATCAATATTAAGGAAAGCGTAGAAGACAAGTAGATGAAACATTTAAATTTGAATAGAGAGGAATTTAAATCAGTCCAGTGGTTTAAAAATAGTAATTTAAAGCTGACAAAAGTGAATTTCGTACAATGGCAGATTGTTCACAGATGCCTCTCTACCAATAATTGAATTATTAACTGAACCTCTCTAGAACAAAAAGGTTTAACTCTTTCTTGGTGTAGATTATGCAAGTCTGTCTTTCCAAAGAGGCTCATTCCAGAAACCATTGAACATATCTTGGATAAGACGATGTACTCACAAGATGAGAGGTGCATAAGTGGATAGACGTGAGTTCACAGAAACCATTAAACAACAAGTTCAAACTGATATTTTATCTAGATGGGAGATAGTTAAAAAAAAAAAAACAATATATCACATAAAAGAAGGAGATTTGGCATGACATCTAGTTGTTTAATCGTAGCAAGCTTGGGGGGGATCAGAGAGGGCAAATGAGCCAGGTGAAGTGGGAAGGAGGACAAGTAAGAGGCCAGTAGGAATTTCAAAGGAACTATCCTATCTTTCAACAACTAGATTGAAGTCGACTCTACAATCCCACGACGACCACTTGCAGAATTCCCAGATCCTTTTCCCTTGTCGTACCTTTGTATGGTTCCCAGATCATGGTATGGGTATGAATGAGACATGCATGTATTTGAGGATGTATGCGCTAGGATGAGACAATTTTTTGGTGCCCTATTAAGGGTGAAGAGGCATGATATAGGCTCCAGTGGACGACTCCAGGTAGACTGTGAGGCCCCCGGCCTCAACATGCTGGAAATTAATATCAGCCTTGGTCATTGGGCCCTTTTTGTTTAAAAAAAAGAAAAAGAAAGAACACCCCACCTGTTGGCACTAAGGGCGACAACCTGGCCTGCCCTCTTTTCTTTTCTTTTTTAATTTAAAAAAAGGGCCGAGTGCCCAAGGCTCCAATCATGAGTTTTGTTACGACACTTATACGCACTCCTCTTCCCATTAGGGCTGGAAGAGCCTCAGCCACTGCTCCCCTGGAGACGGCTTACCTGTATAACACGAATGTAGCATAGAGACGGGGCATTGATTGCTTCCCCAGTGAGGAAGGATTAACCCCATGTGTGCAGAATCAATCTTTGCCCTGCGAGACTCCTCAATTATGCCTACTTCAATCTTCTGCATGGTGAGGAGTAGGGGAGATACAAATAGGGCGAAGAGAGTGATAGCATGGCCAGAAAGTTTAGTAGTTCCTCAGTAATTGCAACGAGCTTCCCCTAAAACAACACTAGTCAAACCTGTGTTGGCAATAGACCCTACTAGTACCAATCAGGGGTATCAAGTGGACTATGACAACCTGTTGGCACTAAGGGCGCAGACGGTCATGGGCCTCGAACCCACGACCTCCTGAATGCCATTTGGGTGCCTAACCGACTGCCCTAGGCCGCTGGATGGGCCGGGCGTCTGCTGGGCAACTGGTAGGCGGGGACTGCCACAGCTCGTGGCCGAACCGTTGTTTTAAAAATCCCACGCCCGTTCTGATTCATCATCACGTCGTCGGGTCGACGGATCAACCTCATACTTTTCACTGTCGGTCGCTCGGGGCGGAAAGCCTCCATGCATAGTTGTTCCACAGCGACGGGGGGTGCTCCTAGAACGATCGGGAGTTGGTTGTCCGGAGACTCTATCTCTCGCTGTACTCTCTTCTCTTTCTCTTCTCACACGCTCAATTTCTGCACGCGGAACGAGATACTTCGCGTGTAAGCCCGCGAAAATGGTGAGTTTCCTGTTCACCTCGGAGTCCGTGAATGAGGGGCACCCGGACAAGCTTTGCGACCAGGTGTCGGACGCGATTTTGGACGCCTGCCTTGCGGAAGATCCCGACAGCAAGGTGGCATGTGAGACGTGCACGAAGACGGGAATGGTGATGGTGTTCGGCGAGATTACCACGAGGGCGAGCGTAGA